TGGTCGCTTACAGAAGGTGGTTGCCTACAAGAGTTTAGACACATTGGGTCCAAATTTTGCCTCATTAGAATATGATAATTGCAGAGACTTTCCCTATGCACCATTCATGTGAAAAGTCAATTTCGAGAAAAAAAAAACACTCCGGTCCTTCCCACTAAGAAATTTCTGTCTGTTGTACTACCCAGGAATACAATACTGTTACACCTTATGATTCAATTTCCTCTTTATTATCTGTCAAGTGGTTGCTAACAGGACGTTAAACACAAAAGAAAATTTCAAACTTTTAGTTCTAAAAGTGGTCGTGGTTGCTCACGTGAGGTGGTCGCTTATAAGAGATTCCAAATATAGTGATTTGACTGGGAAACTCTTGGTATTCTGCTAAACTGGTCGCTGAGGAGAGGTGGTCACTTACAAGAGGTGGTTGCAACCGGAGGTTCAACTGTAGTTGCAATATTTATAAGAAATACTTGGTGTAAACTAGACAATTTTCAAGGAAGGTATAAGGAGCTCAGCAATCACTCTGTCAGTCAGTCATTGGTTTGTACTCACTGTGCATTGGATACAGGCTCCAACCTTCTCACGGCATAATGAGCACACCAGATTCCACCTGCTGGCCTGTTAATAAACAGTGAGATGAAACAAATTTAGCCTTTACAAGACAGGGATAAGTTAGAAATCATCAAAAGGAATATTTCCTCAATCAAAGGTAATGTTTTTAACTTACAGGAATATTTTCAATCCTTGTGACAGGTTCCATCTTGGGAACATTTCCAAATCCAACTTCAGGAATCCACAGAGCACAACTGACATGAACCCAGCCCTTGCCATTTCTAAACACATTTTGACCAAAAGTTAAACAGGGTATAAACAAAGATGATACACATACTCAAATGATACAGAGGAACTCAATGGAAGATAATGGTATACCAAGTTTTCAAACCACCAATGGAAATGAACATTGGTTAGAAAAAGCAGGTAGATTGGTATAACAAGGGTAAAATTACAGTGTTTGACTAAGGGAGGGAATCGACTTTTGGTTCAAGTTACCAGGAGGTTTGAAAAATCAGGATTTCTTAGCAGGGCTGTGCTATAGAAGTCACCAGGTACCACAGGCGACTGACTTTTGCCTTTGGGCGACTGGAAAAACTCGTAATTTTTCTTACAGAGTACATCACAGCCTTGCTTTGTACGGTCTAGTTAACAGTCCAATTGGACTCAGTATAAAATTTCCCATTCCTGTCTCTGTAAACAGGCTTTCTTTTGATCAACCACATGGTTTTCCTACACAAGTTAACTGAGAGTTTTTTTTGAAGGCTAATGTTCCTGTTAGTGAGCAAACACGTGAGCTACAGCAGTAAAACATGAGCATTAGCGGCATGAAAATCAAACCCCGGACTTAAAAAGCAACAGATAATACAAAACTGGCTTTGAATACATACAATCTTCACAACTTACTTAGTCCTTTTCATTGCACCACCAGAAAGAGGGCATAGAACACAGGGAGAATTTTTGATGCCCTTACGACATGGATGACAAAGCCAGCTACCAGCTGGAATGTTCTGGATGCCATAACAGGCCTGGTGAACACAGATGTCACAGGCATCACAGAACACCATCTCATTGGTTTCCTCGCTATCAGGCTGTAAAAACAGAGAACACATACATGGAGCAGTTGTTTTAAAAATCTTGATTAAAGAACTCATAGAGCACAGGGAATCAGGATCACTATTATACAGTGCTAAAGATTTTAGATGACAAGTGACAGGAACCAATACCAATAACAGTGTTGAAAGTATATATGATTTCCAACTGATGGGATTGTGTTCAAGATAGCTGGGCTCTATTGTTTGTTTGTATGTTTGTTGTTGTTGTTGGCGATGGGGCAAGGAGGGGGGAGGGGGGGTTCAGCCCAAATCTAACAACCCAGTACCTTCCAGAGCTTCTGGTAGTAATCTTGACAGAAATGAACCAAAAAATTACTTCTCCTTATTTCTATTAATACAATTACTTACAGTACAAAGTATATACAAAGAACTTACAGATTGGCAGACATCACAGCACACATCCTCATCATATTCTATACTAAGGCCTTCTTGAGTGACTATAGCATGCCCCATGTTGTCATAACACTAGGATAAAATTCACATTCATTATCACAAAAGTTGACTTCAAGTATCTGGCTT